TCCTCAAGAATTTACTGGCTGACGGGCGGGCAGGACAATCCGCCGCGACATCCCGTCGCTCTTGCGCTGCATCAGACGACACAACGCGCGAGTCTCCCTGCCTATTATTTCAAAAGAATCATCGACGCGCGCGACGAGGAATTGCAAACAACTTCATATCCCACGAGCGACGCACTTGTGGGACACGCCGAGAGTGTATCGTCAACTGTCCTCTATCTTCTGCTCGCCCTCCGAGGGCTGGGAAGCGCAGAAGACTTGGCCCACGCTGCATCGCATGTGGGAACAGCACAGACGCTGGCGACGCTACTGTGGTCGTTACCACATCACGCGGGTCAGCGGCGGCTTCCGATTCCGTTGGACATTTGTGCGCGGCATGGGGTGAGGCAGGAGGACGTCTTCCGGTATGGAGGGAACGCAACTGGGGTCGATTCGGCCGTATACGATTTTGCGGTGCTGGCGAATGATCACATGTTGACGGCGCGCGAGATGTTCAAGGGTACTGGAGGTAAAGTCCCTGCAGCTGCAATGCCTGTGTTTTTGGCTGGGGTGCCCGTCGCGACGTTCCTTGCGCAGCTGGAAAAAGTCAATTTTGATGCGTTTGCGCCTTCGCTGACGATGCGAGACTGGCGATTATCATGGAAGATTTGGAGTGGGTATTACCGGAGGATGTTCTAGCAGACTTAATTCACCTTTCGTGGTGTTGTGTGATATCCCTGAATTCTTCTTTGAGCTTGGGCTCAGAATCTGAGAGCTTACCTGCTGTGTCCTGGTGCGATTACTTTTTTTCTCTCTTTTGTGTTGGCACTTCCGATGTGCGATTCGGAAGATTTCCTAATTGGTGATGCGAGGATTGATGATGTTACTGGATTTGGATAAGCCCCTATTTCCGCTGTGCGGAATTGAATTTCAGTGGGGTACTTGCCTACCGCCTCGTTCACAAATACCTACCGTTGTTTTGCTTTTGACTCGCCAGCCCAGTTCTCTTGGTGGTTTATAGACACGAAAAACAAAAGCGCGGGACCTGATACACTGCGATGACCACGCATAGATGACCAGTGCCTGAACGGAAGTTTTTTTCTGAGACATGAGGTGAAACAAATGGAAGTGATAGAGTTGGGTTGCAGTTGGATACTTGGGTGTCACCACGTATCCGAATTGGGACTACTACCGCCCGGTCCGAAGCTCACAACGAAGCACTTCCACTTGGCGACAATAGTGGTCAGTCACACTGGCACCGGCAGTCACACACGCCTACTCTCTTTCTCAATGACTCTCACCCTCCTCCCCGACGAGGTCCTCGCCGACATCTTCTTCTGCGTCGACGACCCCACCCCCCTCATAGCCTGTCGCCGTCTTCTCCACCTCAGCCAAGATCCCTATGTTCGAGCACACTACTTTCTTACTCGTTATGGCAGAATCCAGGCTCTTTACTTTGCGTTCTGCCGTTCGAAGCTCGTCACCCCCCGCGTTCTCGATGTACTTGTCCTAGCTCCTCTCTCCATGCCACCTTCTCACTCGCCACTCGCCCTAGATCCTCATTTCCAGTGGCGCTCATCTCTCCCGTTATTTTGTTCAGGTCGCTTTCCACCACTTTTTCCATTGCAATTCCCATTTCCTCAAGATTCCGTGGGTCCGAAATATCTCCTGGGATGCCTGGAATCATTTCATGACTCTCGCCGTTGCTCAATTTCACGAGATTCCCCGAGGAAAGGTTCGTGGTGACTATCTTTGCATGAAATATTCTAAGCCGTGTATCAGAACGAGGACGACGGCACGATCTTTACCACGTTTATCAAGGAGGCAAAGTTTCCCGCCGAGGCCCAAAGCGTGTCTTGGGAGGTCATACGCGACATGTTTGAGAAGTACCTTGTAAGTTTTCGTCTCGCCCTTAATTGTCTCTTCGTCTGAGAAAATCAACAAGTTCATCCCATTTTGCCAACGCGACCCTCTCATGGTACAACTTCCTCTCGTGTTGGCTATTGAACCTCGCCTGCTCCCTTATGCGGTCGCCAACGGGTTTGAAATGGATGAGAAGGTACGGCCCTCCCGGAGAACCCGTTACATTCCGCGTCTCACATACTTCCGAAAAGTACCGGGACTTTGTCTTTCGCAAAATGTTCGAAAAGAAGACGTCTGCCCCCATTCCAGCACACGCAGATGAAATTGCTGCCAATGTACGCGAGCTGTGTCGCCTAGACTCTCAGTACGTGCTTTCCGCTTACCCTAATTTCACTATCAGAGTCTAATGGCGCATAGCATGTTCGTCACGCGTACAGTGGCGGCCGAGGTATGCCTTGAGGTTAAGACAAACGAGGCCGCTTACAGGGCCCTCAAACAACTCGACCGCACAGGCGATCTGCCTTTCTCTCTCGCGTCAGTCGCTTAATTTATTTCGCCCACCTCATGTTGATTCTTCATCCGATTGCAGCGACCTTGTTCAAGATGTCATCAAGGTGAGGAGCTCTTGTAAAGTTTTGAACATCTGCTCATTTTTGCTAGCTTTTTGTTAAGGCGCGAGCGATCACGACTGCGGCCACTACGCAGATTCTCACGCAGCTCTACACGGACTTTTTTGCGCCGTCTCCCAGGTCGACGACCTCTGTTTCCTCCTATCTTGCTTCCTCCCGCACTCCACCCATAGCGATAGATCCGGCTGTCCGCCGGCGATGTATCTCACCGTTTTCGCTGCGGACCCCGCCCATTGCTGGTTCTGCCATCGCTTCCGTCTTACGCTCTCGGTCTCGGTCCTATGAGCCTCAAGGACGCCGCTGACGTGCTCCCGAGTGCCTTCGTCGAGAAGCCGGCACCTTTATTCGAATATTTGCGTCGAGAGGGTGTCGCGGATGAATCGAATATGGATGAGAGTGGGTCGCCGAGCAAGACGACGAGAAAGGTAACGAATGCGGAGTTCAGGGCCCTCGCTGAGGATGTTGCCGTGAGGTGCTTGACGCTGGATAGTAAGGGTAAGACACTGAAGAGGTTGTCTGAAATGCATTCGACGGTGCGAACGAAATCGTGCAATCTGTGCTGGGAGAGCATGAGATCAGGCTGGAGCACATCTCGCTACTGGGGAGGTGCCGGATGGGCAAGAGCGGCTGAAAGCACGATTGTCGAGAAGTATGGGAGGATTCGTTGTTGGTGAAGACGTCAATATCGAAGAGGGTGAGCCCGCGGCTGAGGAGGAGGACGGGGCAAGAGGAGCAGAACAACGAAAATGAGGAGGATTTCGACATGGAGAGCGCGACGGCGCGGGAAAGTGGGTTGGATGGAGATGCTCAGTCCGGACAGGCACAACTCTCCGTAGATTCCTTGGCAGAATAGGGATCGAGCCGCTGAGTACTATGATCAGACGGGACGAGCAAGGTGCGCGCAGTCGAAGGCGCTACTACTATCATGCAATGCCTTGGATGGCCAGCTCAATTTCTTCGCGGACCCCGGTCGGTGGGTCATCATCTGGCGTGATTCGTTCTCTACCTGATTCGTATCCCTCCAGATTCTCTTTCAGTGGCAAAATGGATCAAGACTGAATTCAAAGCGTTCAGCAGTATCACGGCGACTTTCTTGACGCACGCAGTCATCAACGGCAGTTATTCAGTAAGTCCCTATTCTACCCGCGCCACAACGAGCTAAATGATGAGCAGGTTTGTCTGCGTACCTGGACACGGCAACGGTGCCTGTTCCAATCACTCTGAAGCATTTCCAAGCTTTGGCACAGCTAGGACGCTCCACGGCCGTGCGTATCTGTCTTCGTCTCGACACGTTCGAAAATTTCTGAACGCGTGAATAGGATTTCACCTATATGAGCGAATTCGGGAGGCGCCACCGTTCTACAGAACTGAGGAAGACTATCTTGGGAATTCGGACGTAGCTCGGTCTTGCTGAAGAAACTGAAAGGGAAGGACAAGGGCCAGGAGGGCCAGCAACCACAGTTACCGACACAAACGTCTCCTCGTGTCAAGGCGGAGCCTGTTGAGCTGACGGCGGCGTCGCCATCTCCACGCAAGAGAAAACGTCCGCGGCGCTCTGCACTGGCAGTGGATTATGCTGTGCCTGATTCGGACGATGAGGGCGATCGCAGCGGAAGAGGACATGAATGATGAATTTGCTGAGTATCGATTAGGGTCGTTGGGGGGCGGCAAGACGAAAACAAAAGCAGATATCAAGGTGGCCGCACCCAAGGCAGAACCAGATTTGGCGTTGTGGATCAAGGCGTTAGAGGAGCTCAACAAAGAGGAGCAACGCAAGGTTGGTTTACTGGCTTTGAGTTCGATGTATATCCTGACTGTCGTACAGTACCCCGCGAGACGAAGAAGCGCATAGAAAATGAAAGGGCTGCAGCTGGGGCCAATGCACCGAAGATACGTGTTTCTAAGGTGCGTCAGGTTGCTTGGAACACATAAGTATCGTTTGGCTGACTGCGTTCAGAGCGATTTATTTCCGCTCTTTGACGACAAATCTCCGTAGTTTGCGTGAACTGAATATCCTGGATCACAGTCGACGCCAAGCCACGGCGGAGCAGCTTGAGGTGACTGACGATGAGGATGAGGATTACGTGCAGACGAAGGCGCCGAAACCCAAGAGGCGCAAAACCACCCTGACTTGAGCACACGACATTCAATGGATTACAATGACACTTGCATCTTTTCTCTCAACGGCATACCTTTCTCTCTCCCTTAGCATCATGACAATTCATTAGCATCATCATAGCATTCGCATTTCTCCCGTCTTTCCTGTGTCACAACCACCTCCATACATAGACCATACCTCTTACTGTCCTATAATAGTTGACTACTAGATACAATAATGTACACTGGCAACGTCGTCAAACTGAAGGTGTACTAATGATTCCTTTTAATTAACTCGTGTACGTGGGTCGTTCTGCTGAGCATACAGAAGCTTGACCTTCGTGATCGTGCAGCGGGAGAAGTGGGGGGAACTTGAGCCCGGGTGGCAACATGCGTTTACGCTATATATTGGGGAGTAGAACATATGTTTTCAACGGGCAAATAGGTGTAAGTTGGTTATCGCGCCCGCTTCGCACTGTGGCTGTGCACGTCCACGTGATTGGTTTGCGGGAGGTGCTGGGTTCAATTCCCAGTTTGTCCCATCCTTTTTTTCGCGACGTTTTTGCTTCTGCCATTGACTCTGAGGTTAGTTAGGTATGTGGATGACGCTCCGCCGTGGGTGAGATGGAAAGTGGGAGACAGCCCAGCCCCACGGGCTCTCCAACGCAATCAAGAAAAGGCAGCGCTTGGAGGCGGCGGAGTCGAGTCGACATGGGAGTCAAGAGCATGAGACTACGATCGTCGATCAGTGCTGTTCTCGCCATCACTCGTGCCTCATGATTCAGGAGAGAACATCAACTTTTGTAACGTCTTGAAATGTGTGAAATGTCGCGTTCCAATGCACTTCCTTGCCGTATTTTTCGGTCCGGAGTTTGATTCGGCTTACGCACCAAAACGCCTTGTTTTGGTTTCAAGCTATTCTGAATCCAATACTAAGTACTTTACCAGGCATTACCGTCCGCACCCAGATCCTCCCAAGCCATTAATTCCTAACTGGATGCGAGAAGTTGCAATGTTTGGTCGTGCTTACTCTACGCCACCATGTCTCTGCGACGATCAGGACTTCAAAAAGAGGTTCTCAGCTTGTACAGACGGTCAGCTACCTAGCGGACCATTTTGGCGGCGCTCATCTGGAACCAGAGCTCTTCGAATACCCCGCACGAAGCCACCGCACGCCCGAACCAAATGGGACCTCTTAATTCGCTACTCTTTCCGCAAACAGGCCACCAGTGTCTCTTCGCGGGATGTGAGCGCAATCGAACATCTTTTGCGCATGGGGCGGCGGCAGTTGTCGTCTTACGAGGAAACCTCTGCCAAAGACTGCCATGTTTCAGAAGAAATGCATTTATGGGAACAGACACAACGTCGGACATCGAACTCAGATACTTGAACATTGTACTACACGCAATCCTAGTTCATTAAATAAAAGTTCGACACTGATTGTCGGCGGGGAAAATGTGTCGCTTTGACAGGATCGTCGTTCTACAAATCAGTATTCCCCTTCTGTGTACTGACATCAGACTCACGATCCAGAATTTCCGTGAAATTGTCCGCAGAACAATGTTCTTGGCATCGCAAGTTTCCTCCAACACAGCTTGTGGGTCGCCAACAAAAGTGAGGAGCCTCAAGTGCGGGAGTGACTCGAGAGCCTGAATCACTGGTTGAAGATTGACGCTGGCCGTGTATGTCTGTATGAGCAACGCGAGATGCTCCAGTGAAGGAGGAAGCGTCGGCATGAGGGTGGGGATGTTCAGAAGCACCAACTCCATTAAACCGGTGCACTGTGCCAGAATAGCAGCGTTGTGAGAGTTGTAACGCATAAACCGCAGTGACTGAATCCCCGGACAACATTTGGCGATGTCTAGACATGTGCTGGCGCTGGGCAAGTCACGAAGCTCCAAGATACGAAGGGAGGTCCCTGATGACGAAAGCAACCACTGCAACACGTCGGACGGCGGCGTACGCTGCAGTGAAAGCTCGTACAGCTGCAGGGCGGGCGCCATGGGAGGTGGAGCAGCAGCGATTTCAACGCCAACCGTCAAAAATTCCACGGTGGGGAAGAGTCCAATCAGCTCGAAGAGCAGAGGAGATTGAACGCTGCACTCTAACAGGCGAAGCGACCGAAGCGAAATCGATCCCGCCTCGACGGCAGCAGATATACTGGATATGTCGTTTGGAGTCAGCGAAAATAGCTTGTGGGCACTGACACCGAGCTCGTATAGCTGGGGACAGCGACGAAGAATCGACACCAGGGTCGATACCGAACACTCTTCAACACCAGGAGGAGCATCTTGTACGAGAGCAATTGAAAGACTTCGAACGCTTGAAAGCAGAGTTCTATTGCTTGTTGTGTCCGCAAATCGCACGAATGCGGGGGTGGCCTCGAGCGTTATGCGTCGGAAGAGAAGGGTCTGCGCAGGGTTTCTCCATGCCGAGTTGACGAGGGAGCACGCCGACAGAGTATAATAGTCGGGCGTATTGAATGGAAAGTTTCTGTAGTATACTTTCGAGACGATGAGGCAGATCAGTTCCTCAGGTAGGTCCATCGTGCAGAGCAAAGACGCAGTTGTGGTATTCTCACGCTTCGTAAGTCACATATTTTTATTCTTTTGCCCGTGGGCTTGGTAGTTATTACACTAGAGTACATTAGCACATTACAGTCGAGAGTAAGTTCATCATGAGTCCCAGATAGCACCGAAGGCAGGAATGCCTCGACTCATCATACCTGGAGGACATGAGTTTTGTACGGGTATTTTGAGAAATGTACGCACCATAAACAATTTTTTGCGTCAATTTTTGGTTGGAGATCACGCAGACAGCCTCTGCATTGAATTCTTTGACAAGGCGCATGGTCAGCTGGAGGTCGCATTAGTTTTTGGTGCGAAAACAGCTCTTTGAAGCACACCTTGACCATATCAGGTTTTCCATGTTTGCGTGTGTCTAATAGAGCTATGAGACGAATGTCCCAACGGTGAAGCAACTTGGCCTCACCATAAATCACAGCGTCGGGGGACGCCCCCAAAATTTCGTCAACAAGCTGGTCTCCGAATGTTTCACGGACATTTGGCGACGTCCAGAGGAGTCGAATAGGAATCCGTTGCTCGAGGATGCAAGGCGCACAGGGTCCGATTCCGCTTCCTGTTCCGAAGATGAGACACGACGGATTCGGTTGAAACGAGGGATCTCACCAGTCGCAACGAATACCACTCGTCGGAATAAAGGAACGATGCGAAGCACGCCGAAACACGGCGCACCGCGAACCCAGACGTGGGACGGGGCGTCCGATATCCGTGAATTCGTCCAATCTCCAGCTTTTGATACAACAAGCGAGAATCCCTTCTCGTTCGGAACAGGAATGGTGGCAAACCCATGCCAGTCCTTCATGGGGTGCATCGCAAGCCGTACAAAGCTACCGGGAATCGGTGTGCTATACGTGAAATACAGGCGCACTTGCAACTCGATGTGAGCAAAGATCCCGGCGAAGAATACAAACTCACCAGCATGCTTCGACAAGACCTCTGCCCGCACAGGCACCTTCCGCAGCCGCAGCCAGGGCAGAATGATGGATACTGATGTAAAAGTGAGCAGCGAATTCAAGCCAGCAAGGTGATGAATACCTGTCATGACCAGGAGCATCCAAAACGGGGCAGAGTGCACCAATGCTCGCGCAAGCGACAGTTCTCCCCGATAATCATTAGTGAGAAGAACGACTTGCGCCCAGACGAGAATGATACTGGTCCACCCAAAGAATCGATGGACACGTTCAAACGTGTCGTGCCGTTTGCTTCTGAGTGCGGGGTATGCAAATATCACGATGCCGAAAAGGAGGAGGAGAATCGAGTAGGAAACGGCCACGGTCGCTACAGATGCCTGTTTCAAGTTGAACATCCGGTATCAAACAGAGTCGAACCGCTTACATGCGGGAAACTTCCGCCGCTGACTGCTTCTTTTGTTGCTTGGCCACAAGTCAACGTCAACCATACCACGCCCGATGTTGCACATCCACTATGCAGCCCGCCAATGTGATACACACTTCGAGACAAAGATATTAGGAAGATTTATATGGAGAAAGTCACCCTTACCGAGCGCAGACCCGACGGATTGCAAGCGGCCATCTATTGAAATTTCATTCAGTTGGAAATCACACAATGCAACACACGACGTACGAAGACGGAACAGCGCAGAAAACATTGAAAAACGTGTTGACTATGTAGTCTTGCCTCATGAGACTGTATGATCGAGTCAGACGCAAACACATCTACGCAAGACACTTCAACGCACATTGCAACGAAAAGATTGGCCAGCGTGATTAGCCCAAGACGTTGTGCAGTGGCGCCTCCCCAGACAAGTAGTGTGATGAAGATGGTGACATTGACCAAGAAGACGACACTAAAAAGGCGGCGATACAGGCTGAACACCTGGTGCCGCAGATTCCGAACAGTTTTGCCTTGTGTTTTGTTGGGGAGTACATCCTTCTCGTATCCGTGCCATGGCTCCCGAACGATGACTGCTTTGAGATCCTCCCCGCTTGCGGAATCTACAGTCGAGGTAGAATCACACGAAGGGTCCACTTCTTTGTGATGGATGGGGGGTGGCGAGACAATCACGACCGCAAGAGACGAGTCTTTCTCGACTTTGACCTCCTCAACTGAGGCAGTAGCGGTGAGGGAACTAGTTGACGAGGCGTTCGTTTGTGATCCGGGCCGATTCGCGATCCGAGAAGTAACGAGGGGTATTACATCCTTCTCGATCGTAGTCTTGGACTGTACAGCGAGTTGACGAAGAGCTCTTTTGTCGGTTTTGTCGTTACTGTACTTCTGTCAGTCGTCATTGTTGACAAATCGCAAAAGCAACTCACCCCGTTCGCGGAAACGAGGCTAGAGCGACAATGTGCGTTGGAACAGCATAATAAGGCTGAACTTTTGCAGTTGCTGCTCTGACTTCGGCTTCATCAACAGTGTCAGGGGTGACGAAACCCCAGAGCTCTTCGTCAATCAGAAGAGCAGCGGCAGCTTTGATGCCAACGGTGGTCTTTGCGACATGTAAGTCAACTTCCTTTCGCAAAAATAAGCTACACACCTCCATGGCGGCAGCTACACCGTCAAGCTCGACACGGAATCCCTGAGATAGTGACGTTGAGCCCCGTGCGTATTCAACATAACCCAAACAAACCTTGATTTTGACTTGATCGTCTATTCTTCCAAGATGCTCGAGTGATCCGTCTGGAAGCCAAGCTCTGCGTAAAGATAAGACAACGATCGATTGAGCAATACCAGTTGCACAAACCCTAGGTCGCCCGTGTTGAACATGATAGATCTACAGAATCTCAGGTGCTGGTCAGGGAAAAGATATCGGGTAACCGCACCCATCATTGACAAAAGGATCCAGTTTATAACGTGCGTGAGTATTGTCAGGTAGATTCAGATACCCTCTTGTAACGCAGGCACCGCCAGCCCACATTAAACCCGGCACCCCAATCGGAGTGGGCTATTGTAGGAAAGATACATATGAGCATCAATCTCGGCGTAATAGTTGCGGAAC